TCAATGCAATTTTAATCGAATAAAGTCTCAATAATTTTATTATTTACTGTCAAAACTATACAACCTCTATGTAGCTGTTAAATAGTATTCAGAGTACCGTATATAAGGTCAAATTCAACACCATTTAGTTTATTAAATATCCACGCAATACGGGCGCTAGTGTTGCAACTCAATGTTACGAAATTTCACAATAACAATGGATAGATCGTGATTGAATTCGAGAGGAAGCCCCCAGGCCCCAGCGCTCTTTGATAAATCTGAACCTTAGTGTAATCTCCTACTATACCTACCAAGCATAATGATCAAATCTTCTTTTTGTTGAACACCATAGGTTGTTGATGATAATGAGCTATCCACAACTGTGTAGCCACAGTGACAGCTTACACACATAGTCCATCAATGAAAAGAAATCAACGGATGATGTCATGAAATCCTACATCGCACATGTACAGTTTGCATACGAATTAAAATGGATAGAAAATCCCAATGAACAACTGTTGGGCAGAAACCCCACCAGGCTCGATCACCTCGCCTAGTCGGAGGGTACTCCTTTTCCGATCTTAGGGAACTTTCTATTCCCTTAAACCGCATAAATTTTTACTCCATAATAAAAGTAGATGCAGGGTTCATACACAAATGTGCGAGCTCCCTCTACGAATCGCAAGAACTTGCGAATTTATTCGCATCGCGCATCAAAATCTTATCTTCCCAAAAATTTCATTGTTTCTCTTTCTTGTATCTCAAGCAATAACAGAAGTGCACACCTTTTTTTACAATCTATGTCACGACCTAGTTTTCAATTTAAAAAACGTTTAGTACGGTTGACGGTCATCGAAGAAATGGTCACCATGGCAGTTTTGTGTACGAGCCCTCACTCAGATATTGTAGCAATTTTCCTCAAATTTTCTCTCCGTATGTCCTCAAATACACCAAACTAATAAATGGTAATGGTAACCAAACTGCCGGCATAAACCACAATTAGTATCTACGTTTGCAATATTATTCTTACATTAACATAAAAATGCCAATTCAATTTTCAAATTTTAACTTAATCTGCTTAAGATTAGGAGTGTTAATTGATTAACAAGTTCAATGTAATGTGGTGTGAATTATAATAATTTTAGATTCCGTTCTAAGAAGATTTGTAAGATCGACAACAGTTTTCACCTTTTGTACGCACCTAGTATGCTCTAATATCCCTGTATACCCAACAAACCTCAAATTTCTAATCCCCGAAAGGCCGATAACGCACTTGTAACGCCTTTGGTGTTTCAAGTGTCCATGGGAGACGCACATTGCTTCCTATCAGGTGATCCGTATTTAATAAAAAAAAAAACAATAACTAGCTTGATCTTGAGAGCGATTTTTCTTCCATTTCCAACTCTTTCTTCCTTTTGATTTAGCTGCAATACTACGAGAACTAAAATTTCAGTAGGTATTTAATCAGATTCAAGTAAAATTCATTCATTCGATCAATCTAAGGCACACATACTTTCAATTCAAAATTCGAGTATCATTTAAAGCACAAAATACTTTAAATCCCAGTTCACTACATTTAGATTCGCAAGATTTATATCTACCTCTATATATCTATAACGGTTGTTCCACGAAACATATTTAAATTCTTCAATGTCACATTAAAGAAATTCATTTCAGGAATTACATTTTTTAAAGTAATTCTTTTTAATGAAAACAACATAACTGTTTGTAATCTCCAAAATTTTGAACTTTTCACTAAGTACGTTATGAGATCCATGTAATAGAAAATTAATAAGGGGTCGATTCCCGCACGGAGCAACTCTTTGTGTGATCCACAAATTGTGGTTTCGGGTCTGAGTGTGATGTGTTTGTAAACGCACTCAGGATACAGGAATAGCTAGTATAGGGCAACGTTTAACTCGTTGAGTACTGTCATTATAGACACAATTAACTCGTCGAGTACCGGTTTTGTAGACACAATTATAGAACAATAAGTTAATTTAATAAATTAACACAAAATACCCTGCTCAGTTTAGGAACTGAATTGGAAACCCTCCGCTCTGCAGCTGACCCTTCAAACTATCAACCAGTCAAAAAAACTTCTAAAATATCTTTTTAGTAACTATCGAATAAGAAATTCTTATCTCCGAGTTAAAAAATGGATAGGATTGAACCTATAGGTAGTAATCTTCCGAGCCAATGAACAAGATCGGTATCAAGAGGCCGGCACATACGATGATATAGAGAAAGTTCAAAGTGCGGATTACCTAGCAATAGGTTGATAGTTTTATCACAGTCCCATCGGCTTTTTGAAGGTGCTCGGTTAGAGAAAATATGATAATCGAAATGTAATGTACGTTTACTTCTGCTACGTCCGCACGGTTTGACCCGCTCTGCTCGGCTCCTACTTATCGTAGCGCGATGTATTATAGCTTTTAGCCTTCTTCGGTAGATGGGCTATCCAACCAACCATTGAGCCAGTTTCCATAGCACGGTTAATGTGTGATGGATGGGCAACCGGCTGCCGTGCAACGCGTCGCGGGTTCGATTCCCGCAAGGAACAACATTTAGTGTGATCATCAAATTGTTGTTTCGGGTCTGGGTAATTGGGGTAATTGGGTAATTGGGTCTCCGGTAACTTCACTCACATCACGAAACACAACGCAAGCGTTGCTTCACGTAGATTTTCAGTAAGGCCGTGGTATCACTCCGGTCGAACCGGCCCATTCGAAGCATGGCTATCCCATACTTAAAACATTTGATAACCTACAATCAACGCTATCACTAGTCGGAAAACTTTTAACAATGCTGAATTATTATGCTTTCGACCACCTACATTTCCAATATGAATTCAACAATTACATTTAATACAGTCTCTGCATAGCTGATCTACTAAGACATGACTGTAAACAAGATCATAACAAATTGCTGTCATAAAACTATCGAAATGTCGGCTATAAATATTGATACATGAAATAACAGGGAACAATATAATCGGTAGTAAAAGCTTTAGTGTAATTGTTTCTTCAAGCTCATATTGTGGGTCCTATATGGCCAATATTGGACATATTGTGACTAATTTTGAAAAAAGATGACTACAGATTATATCAAGGATACCTAATAATAATACGGTGTATAAGAGAAAGGTCAGTGAATATTTTTTTACACGGAAAAAAATACGTTTTTATTTATTTTTTTGTTTTTATTTTATATATCGAAATCACTCCTCGTGGTAAGTTATTTTGCCACAGGACGAAAACGAAATAAATTTCACGTTGTACAAAGTTCTACTAGATTCTTCTGAAAAAAAAAAAACAGCTAGTATATCCTTATGTCGTAGCGTGCTACTGGAGACGTCTATATCCAGCCGTCAGATGAAAAACTGCCTCGTTGGCCGTGAGGTCACAAGTGCAACTACCAGGCAATGGGTCTCGGGTTCGATTCTTTGGTCAGGCAAAGTACTACTGGGTTTTTTAAAAAAAAATCAGTAGTAGCACGGAGTCTAGAATTGTGCCCGGTATATGGCAATAGGCTCACCCCCTATTACATGGGACTCATAACATAAATAGTGAAGAGTGGGTGTTACGTTGTACAGTGGCATTAAGTGCCGTTATGTACACCTCTGCCTCCCCCTTTCGGGGATAAAAGGCGTGATGTGATGTTATGTTATGTTATAAAGCAGTTTCTCATATGACAGATTTCTTCAAAATCCAATTGAATCATGAAACCGAGGGAACCTGTTTACACATACACTAGATCAACCAAGTCTATTTTTAACCGAGTTGCATAATCTCGGGGCTCTAGCTCGAAGTGCAGGAGTAGGAACGGGATGGTTTTTAATCAGTAAGAGTCTTACACTCCCTTTCACCTCACCCAAAACGGTAGAAGACACTGGATGATTTCCCCCCTCAAATAAAAAAAGACCACTGACAAAATCAAGTAAGTCATCGTGAGACATACTAAATTAAGTAAAAACGCGGGTTACTCACGTGAATATACTGATAAAAGTTTCGAACCACAGAGGGGTTCTTCCTCATGAGCAATGGTCATGAGCATGGTCGCGGCGACGACGCGCAGCTCACTGGTATGTATGTATAAAATAAGATTGGTCGCACCACAAACATAAAGTTCAATATTATATCCAATATTGGCCATAGTTGGTCGTAGTTCACAGCCAATAAACACGTAGATTAGAAGACGTGGATTTTAGTACCAGTATCTTGCATTATTGTGTTATTTACGATGCATTACGATGACTTCGGATAGTTGTATATTATGTTATGTGCTAGCGAAAATTCCTGATCTAATTTAGGTGGTTCTGTTATGTGTCGGTTATTTATTGGCCAATGAATTATTGGATCAAAGTGCTGTTTGTTTATCGTTGTTTGCCTGGCATTGAATTGACTAATGGAGTTATTTCAAATTTACTCTGTTTATGAGTTATATCATCTGCTAGTACGCTCAGCTGTCGTGTTAGTGTGATCGCACGTGTGAATACAAAACGGGGGGATTTAGGTTTGATTCTCGAGTTAATTTGAGCTTAGTGAGAATATAGTATTTTGATTTTCATTCCTTACTAGCTTTTGCCTAGGACTTCGTACGCGCAATCCCTATTTCTCCCATTTCCGTAGGATTTTCAGGACTTTTATCTGTCATAAGAACCTTCTCCTGACAACAATAAATACAACAAAAAAAATCACCCAAATCGGTCTAGCAGTTCTCAAGTCATGGCGTGACAACGGGAAACGGGTTTCATTTTTATGTACATATATAGATGGACAATTAACACATTAAACGCCGTGGGGATTACCGGTCACCGACGTTAGTGGAGGATTTGCCTTCATCAGTTTTCTATTGGCAGTCAAAGGCTTAAGCATAGGTGCGCTATTGTACTAATGCGTCATTTGATTTTTGCTGGAAAGCAGCCTATTATTATATGGCAATGGGTTTCAATAATGACATGTCGATAATTTGCTCTTTATGTTGTGTATCACATCTATAGCTCTATATATTGTTCACAGACAATGTGGTGGCTACGATAACGGTCCAAGTCAAGGCATGAGGCGAGTTGGAGTGAGGAGCTCACCAGACCTGTCTCCCAACAGAACAGTGACGAGGCAGCTCACTTGGAGGATCACTAGTGCTACCAGGTACATACATAGTTAATATTATAAAAACCTTTTTGTTATTTTTCATACCACTTTCGAATGTTTTATTATGTGTAGTGACCTTACTACAGGCTCCAATAATTCTTTTATATACTACGTTTAAAAACCGACTTCATCTCCCTCTTTTTCTGAAACCGGTTAATTAATATAGGTACTGAACCTTCTCAAGTGCAACAAACACTTTTGAGAAATCCTCATCAAAATCGGTTCAGCCAATCGCATAGTAATCGCATACAAATATACATACAAGCTGAGGTCAAACTGAGAATCTCCTTCTTATTTTGAAGTCCGTTAAATGTATACATTAAGGTTTTATGTATAAATATCATCAGTGCAGATATGTATCACCCTAAAATAGAATTCTATTTCCAAGACATACAAGTTCTTTTACATAGTTACGAAATAGCTCTAACAAAAACAGCAAAAAACTACATTACCTACATATATTTTTCTCCTTATTTATATGAATAACAAGTGACCCTTTACCCTACCTAACGTTTGATCTAAATAAAGTAAAACCAAGATTTGTTTCATTGCAAATTCAATCATATAGGGTCAAAGGGTCAAAACATGTGGTCCTTCAATGGCAGGTCTCGTGAAACGAAAACAAAATTTCAACTCGGTTTATTAGAAAACTTTAATCGATTGATTGATTTGTTAGTAAAAGGGTTACAAGGGTATTTATCGGCCTTGCAGCCTCGGATTTGATCCTGGATCAGTTAAAATGTGTATTTTTTTCGCTTTCATGATACTGCTGATCATTTCAAGGATTACCTAATTAAAATAAATGCTTTGACTTTGACTAGTAAGTAACTAAAAGTAAAAGGTAATCTTTTACTAAACTGCGAATAAACAGTTTAATATAATATTATAAAAATGTGTAATATTCCAACCAACAATAATGTAGTGGACCAACGGTGAAGGCAACCATCGTGAGGAAACCTGGGCTTATAATTTCTATAAGTTTGTTCCGCCAATCCATACTGAGAACGTGTGGTGACTAATGCTCAAACCTTCTCCATGTGAGAAGAGGCTTTGCTCAGCAGTGGGCGTTTATAGGCTGTTGATAATGATAATGATGTATAATATTCACAAAAATCTAAGATTTTACTGTATCTTAAAGCTGTCAAGAATGATTAAATCGTAGCAATGGATGTCAGCTGTAACGAAGAGGCCATTAATATATTACTACATAGTAATGAATGTAAAAAAAACGCAATGATATAAATTAACTGTTTAATCCCCAATCGGTTACCGGTGACAGCTGGAGAGCTGTGTGAGAGTCAGCAGAGACTCCATTATAAACATTATTTCCGATGTTTAGAGACTACTTTCGTATGAACAAAGTTTGGATACGATAATATATCAATGTATTATACAGTGCAAAAACTGAAGATTTATGTCTAATCCTTATTAATTACAATCGGAATTAACTGATTAATGAAACTTCTTCGTATAATGACAGTTAATTTACCAACACGTATTATTGAAAGTGCATCACACATCGATTCTTGTTTTCTATCAGATTTTAAAGTCTCATGTGAAAGAAGGAGCCGTTTCGAGAAAATAATCCGATTAAGTAATTCATTAAGTAATTCATAACTTTATATGCCTATGAAATAATTGATGTATTTACTTAAAAAAGAGTTACGCTGTTCTTGTTATATCAATAAAAAATTGACCACTAATTTTTAAACGACAAATCGATAAACGAGTGGACGGATCACCTGATGGTAAGCAATCGGCCCCGCCCACGGACACCTGAAATACTAGAGGCGTAACAAGTGCGCTATCGGCCTTTTGGGAATTGGGAATTTGAGGATTGTGGGGATACAGGGATTGGGGAGATTGGGGAGGGGGTATCTAATTGGGCCTCCGGTAACCTCACTCACACAACGAAACACAACGCATGTGTAGTTTCACGTCGGTTTTCTGTGAGGCCGCGCTCTGGTCGAGCCAGTCCATTCGTGCCGAAGCATAGCTCTCCCACACTTAAAATTCGTTAAAGATTACATAACCACTACAGAAACAAAAAAGAAACAAATGCAAACAAAACTCAACTCTATATCTACTCCACAGGTCACAACGCAACAAAGTGGGTATGAGCGTCTCCCATCCTCAGCTATCCTACATGAACGGCTGTGGAGGTACAGGATCCTCAGGTCCGAGACGAGGTCGGGATGTGGCCACTCAAACTCCACCTAGCATAGCTGCTGAGACGAGAAGAGCAAGGTTGAGACCCTTGAAATTAACACTAGCAGCACCTAATGCTTTGACACTTAGGTAAGTGGAGTTTTCATTATTATTTGTTGATTATGGAGTATTTTTTGGCTAATAATATTAAAATTCTCAGTAGTAACAGAGAGTCTGGAATTGTGCCCAATATATATATGGCAATAGGCTCACCCCCTATTACATGGGACTCATAACATAAATAGTGAAAAGTGGGTGGTACATTGTACAGCGGCATTAAGTGCTGTAATGTGTACCTCTGCCTATCGCTTCGGGGATAAAAGGCGTGATGATATGTATGTATGCAATATGGAAATCTGAATATGGTCCAAGGGTGGCAATTAACGGTAGTGGCGACCTCTAGTTTTCTATTGCTGAGAATTTAAATAAAGTAGGTTTTATTGATGACTCTGTAAAATTTATAAACAACTAGCTTCTGTCCGCGACTTCGTATGCGTAATCCCATTTTTTCCCGTCCCCGTTCGTGATTTTGGGTAAAAAGTAAAAAAAAGTATTGGTTAAAAAGTATCCTATGTCGGTCTCCTGGCTCTAAGCTACCTCCCCACCAATTTTCAGCCAAATCTATTTTGCCGTTTTTGAGTTATAAGTGGTGTAACTAACACGACTTCCTTTTATATATAATATAGATCCAGGTCCTAACATGGTTCTTACCCTTCAATATTCTCATATTTTTATACTAGTGTTGACTTCTATTTTAAAGTTGACTTAGAATTGTAGGATACTTAAATTATACTCACCTACTCATTTCTGAAATTTAAAACTAGTATTTAATTAAAATATCTACTAAATTATTCTTATTTCATTTTGTAAACGACGTTTCCATTATAACAATATATTTATTGTATTGAGAAAACAGGAATTTCAATCTATCATTTAAAGACAAGAAAATGAGTAAATGTCTCAAACAATTCGACAAGCAATAAAAAATATTTCCTATCTTTTTTCCTGTCTCCAATGTCTCTTGAGTACAATTTCAAGAATCAAAATTGTCAGTAGATAAGAAAACAATTGTAATCGGGAAAATCAATTGTATCGTTATATTGTACCACTGTCCTTTTTAGACTGGTTTATTTCAATGTCAAAGTTAAAATCATTTATTTCAATTAGACCAGGAAAGCTGATGTAGCTCTTTCGGCTATTAAACTGTCAAACACCAAGCGGTCACCGGTGACCGCAACCTATTGTTCTATAATTGTGTCTATAATGACGGTACTCGACGAGTTAAATTAAAACAGAAGACTGCACGTTAAGTAGGTTTATTAATAAATTAGAATCAAGACTGGCTGCACACCGACACAAAGAAATGCCCGAAAGCCTTGGCGTGTGTTAGCGGAGTGTGTGGATGAAGAAGCACGGCGCTCGCGTGGCCGTGGGTTTTTATACCCCATATATTATATTCGATGGCCATATTGATGCGCCGACAAAAGTACTTTTTAATGTTAAAAACAAAATATTAAATTATTAAAAAAATGTCGGTCTGTCGGTCAGTCCTCTAGTGAAGCTGTTTGCTCGTTCCAAAGTGTAGATTCCTATAGAAAAGAACGAGCAAGAAACTCCATAGGTTACTCTTTTTCGATAAGGTTCCCAATACAATTCTTGGTTACATCGTTTCGGAAGTTCAATTGGTTTCTTACTAGAAATATGAGAAAGTTTTTAATCAGGTAGTAAGAAACTCTAGAGTTTGATTCCCGAGCCTGAGAGACCTATAATGTTTTTGAACTACTATTTTTACAAGATTGAAATATACTAATTTCAATTAGACCTTGAAAACAATTGAATATCTTCATTTTGTAGGTATCTCATAAGTGATTAATGTCCTAACAAACAAATCATTCATTCGTACCTACTTCGTAATAAAAATGAATAAAGTAATGAATAAAACTTTACTACTACCTTTATAATAATTCATTATAACCTACAAAATGTGACCTGAATTCTATTTCCAAGTCGTAAAATTAAACCTAAATCACTTCTAGATATATTTCGGATCCAATTTGAGCAATAAAAGGTTACAATCCCATTATAAAGCCAGTTCAGATAAGATCCGCTATTGTAAAGTATGGCTATAAAACTTTCAGTGGCTTGAAGTCAGAGGTGCTCAAAGTTTTCAATTTTTTTAAATACCAACTTTTGGCTTATGGCTTCGACGTCAACTGTGAACCGGTTATAGAAGACTCGGTTGCTGAAAAAACCTCCCATCAATTTCGATTATGAGCAACTCGAACTAGACTAGCCCACTGGAGATATTATAGTGCATAAGTGTGTGCGCAAACAAAGATACACTCTCTATTCTTTCCCTCTCTGAACCCATTGGGATTGGAAACCGATACGACCAGAGAGAAATCAGTCTCTAATGAGTGATCAACTGATCATTCCCTTCTGTCCCATGTCTCATAATAAAACTATCTATAAGTACTACAATTTTACCTTTATTCACCAAACATGCTGCCACATTGGCTAAATAAATTGTACACTCAAACTCTCTTATTTCGTTAAAAACATTGCCTACAAAAGTTTTCAACTCAAACTGTATGTCATTACCTAGTTTATATAATTATCTTGTTCAATTTCTTATACAACATTTGTCATTTCCTTTGTTCTTACTCGTACTTATAACTAGCTATTGAACAAACTTTATTTCTTTGGAACTTTGAGAAATGCTGGCAAAGAGTATGCTCTTACATTTTCAATGAAGGTTTTAATACAACTTGGTTCGAGAGTTTTCAAAAAGTGATACCGACACCTTGTTTTATTTATTTAAATAAATTGCAATGAAGAGGTAGATTACGCTTTGTTTGTGTGTAAACATTTCTTTTGTTAAATGTTATTCCGTATTAAAGTTTCTCTGACAGAAATTTTAAGCTATATATGTTTCACTGACCGCATTTTCCAAAGCGCTCAGTTCAAAAGTATACCTTAATAACCTCAAACGTTCACAAAGAGACAAGTTAACCTATTTTAAACTGAAATTCAGCTACAATGTTAAAAGCTACGAATATTCACGCTCGGGAAGTATCATAAATGCATATTTATGAATCTGCAACTGAATAAAATCGTCTGTTTTTGCATTATTTTGAGTAAAATAGCCTTGAGATACTAAAAACTGTTGTTTTGATCTTCTTAACTTAACAGCAACATTTTAACACAACTTTAGAAAAAAGTTTGTCAATTCAGCTATAAACTGTTTATTTTTTACGGCTATTTCAAAGTCAAAGTCAAAATCATTTATTTCAATTAGACCAGAAAGGCACTTTTGAACGTCAACAAAAATAATTAAAAGTGAAGCTATTTGCTCATAATATATAATTAATATTATATTATATAATTAAAACGTTTAGATGATGTTTATCATATGCTGGTGAAGTGTATTAAATTTAAGGTGGCGAGGGACTCATTGATGCAACATTTTAATATGAAAAACTATGATTTGGGATCTTTTTATAGTATTTTGTCAGAATCTTTAAGTAATGCACCACGATCTATTGTAAGGATGTTGCAACACGGATGACCGTTAATTTAAAATGTTTTAGATTGATAAGTTTTGGCTACGATGGGGTTGACGTAACCTATTACTTAAATGAAAATAGATAATAAAAATAAATAAAACATAAGTAAAGCAGTGGCAAAAATTTACTTTTGTAACAATGATATTTGTTTAATTCACAATACACTGAAATGTACAAGAAATTGAACTGTCAAACTTAATACACAGGTATATTTCGCTTCAGACTAACACAGATCGAAATGTTATGTAATTTGTAATACATATCGCTTCATATGTTAACAATAAGTACAATTTTCATAGACTTTAAACCGCTTGGCTTCACAGCCATCAACAATAAAATAAAAACGTCCATATACGTTCTCTGATAAATTTTAAACCTGGCTATTAATAAGATAAGCCTGTAAATCTCGACTGTCATTCACAAAAATATGACGCGGTCGTTAAAAACAAAATATAAATGACATTTAAAAATAAAATGGCCGTAAAAACGATATCCCTTAATCTGGAAAGTCCATGGAATGGAATGGTCCAATAGAAAGTGCCAATCAAACCGATCTGTCGGGCTTAAAATATCAAACGGTAATAGGGCTCATCAATCAAAGGGACAAAAAAGGTTTGAAAGATTTGCGCCTTCTTAAGAACCTTATTAAGACCTCATTTGTACCGGCCTTTCGGAGCACCCTTGTTGTTTATTTGCCAAAATATTTTTGTACCTAATTTTAGAAGATAATTTGCTTATAAAAAAATTGTGAACGTTGAAATTCTTATTAGGATACAAGGACAGTTTCTTTGATATTAAGATTAGTAAAGTTACTTCAGAATATTTATATTGGCTATTAAACGTTGCGACGAAATAACAGTTGCGTTTGATACCCTTACAAGTATAACAAAGTATAATAGTAACACTTACTAATCTAGAAAATACCACTTTCATATTTTTACTCATGTAGTATAAAATGCTATTTTATTAATGTATAAACTGAAATAAAATAAATACTAACTATTACAAAATGTATACCACTTAAGATTAAAATTAAATAAAAGAAAACTAAAAATAGCTATTTACACAAAGCATCGTAAAATACGTCCGCATCGACATCCAATGTGTTCCACATTAGGGAACTAACGTCGATGCGGACAACAACAGTCATTTTTACACATGTTAATGGTGTCTTCTGCTAACTTAAACCACTCCTTAAAATCCTCAAGGTCAAAGAAAAATGTATATTTTATTTTTTTTGTTCCAGATTCCTAGCAAACCGAAAAAAAGGGAGATCCCTATCAGCAAACGCAGTCGCAAATGAACAGAAAGCAACCAAAGTGTTAGGCCTGGTGTTCTTCACGTTTGTGCTCTGTTGGGCGCCATTCTTCTTGCTCAATATACTGTTTGCTGCGTGCCCAGGGTGTATAGTCCCAGGTAAGTTATGGCCGAGGTCAGAATTGATTTATAGATGGCAGTTAATCGTGTCCGAACATGAATAGGGGGCGCTTGAAATCATACCTCGTTTGAATTGACTCTCTGTGGCGATTCTGCAGTTTGTAATAGTGAAATGTAGTGGCTGCTAATGTAGTACAGTATTTTATTATTAATGTTGAGATATTTTTACATTAGAGTTTGTAAATTAATTAATATTGGTTCATGGACTTAGAACACTAAATACTAGTCCATGGTTCAGTTCAAAATGTAACCGAAATCATTGGACATGTTAAATTTCAATTACCAAAGGCATACTAGAGATGTGTTTACCATTTTGTGTTTATTTATTTAAACACAGCCCATCTTCCTGAGGCGTTAGTATAGTCTAGTCATTATAAAATAGTTTAAATCCTTCGGTACTAAACGAAATCTGGCTAATAATTGTGAAAGTTTCAATTTGCAAAGAGGTACACAAGTAATGCTAAATATGAGAAGAAGTGTGAACCGTTCCAAGAGATACAGCCACATTGAACGAATTGCTGTCTGTAATAATTATATTATTTATAATCCGTGTCGATATATTTTCGGGTGAGGTAGATACTAATTATTTCTTTGATGTCTATTTGATTAACGTATAATATATAGACTACCTCGTTGGCCGATTGGTCGCAAGTGTGACTGCCGGGCAAGGGGTCTCAGGTTCGATTCCGGGTCGAGCAAAGTATTACTGGGTTTTTAAAAATCGCAATAGTAGCTCAGAGTCTGGAAATGTGCCCACTGCCCATTATGTAGTAATAGGCTCACCCCTATTACATAACTAGCATAATACTCATAACAAAAAATAGTGAAAAGTGGGTGTTACATTGTACAGTGGCATAATGTGCACCACTGCCTACCCCTTCGGGGATAAAAGGCGTGATGTTATGTTATGTTATAACATATATTAAATAAATAATTTATAAGGCAGGCAGGTCATGCTCGATTTAGCATTCAGTTTATGTTTAGAGTTGTGTTAGCCGCGGAAGACTTAACGGGTTGCCGGGGCTCCCTCCGGCTCAAAGTGCAGGAGTAGGAACGGGATAGTTTTAGTCAGTGAGAGTCTGACACTCTCTCTCGCCTCACCTGGGCGGGAGAAGAAATTGGATGATTTTCCCCCTCAAAAAAAAAAGACTTGTGTGGTCTTTAGTATCGCCCAAATATTTAAGAAAATCAAATAGTTTTTAGTTAAATGACGAAAAAACTCACTTCTTAAACACGTATATACATTATAATTTATTATTATGCGACACTTTTAAATGAAAAAGATTCAAACTCAAGATTTAGGAGGCCAAAGTATCAATTTTTTAGCATACAATGTCTCTGCCAAAATATGATCAAGCTGTTTGCTTGCCAACAATATCTGATCAGTAATTTACTAGATTATATTTTTGGTCTTTTGTTACTTGTGCGACAGCATAACTGTGGTCTGTTGTTACCTACACTGTCTGTCACATATGAGGGAACTCTGTATTCTGATGACTTTAGAACAACCATGCAGTTAATTAGCGAATTGTCCTTTCAGCTACTAACAACTAAAAACTACCGCAAAGTTAAGTTCGACGGTTCCATTAATCTGTCGTCACCGCCCGACACTGGCAGTATAGTCGACAACTTTGTTTTGGAGACTCGGTTGCCAAAGAGGAAAAAAAAATAATAATAATTAACAAATTCTGACATTTTGGCCAGGTTATTTATATATTTCATGTAAATTCTATAGAATTAATGGAACATCTTTCTACAGAGCATGTGGTGGACATCTGCCTGTGGCTGGGCTACGTGTCTTCCACCATCAACCCCATCATCTACACCGTGTTCAACAGGACCTTCAGAGCCGCCTTCCTCAGGTTACTGAGGTGTCATTGTACCAGGTAAATGTTAAATATTGTATATGTCTGTATTACAAGATCTATGTTACGGTGTATTCTTATAATGCGTATCACTTTGTATTTCTATCAATTTTTTTTGTTTAAAATCACATAGCTACATACATTGGACAGTTTCATAGAAAACTGTAATGAAAAAAGTTTGTGGTGTATTTTTTCCAGGCTAAGATATCATATTAATGAAAAAATAATAACACTATCTTAATAATTTTTGTTGTCATTCTTAATTAAATGAAACGATAAAATGTGTGGACTTTTGATTAATGATTTAATTATATTTGTAACTAGAATGTAACCAAAAGTATGACCTCAGCTTTTCTGTCTTTATTCTCCCTTCTCACAACATATTAAACATTTCATACACTCAATATAAAAATATACAAAACGTTTTAACGGTACAAATCATTTTATTTTCAATGAAAATCTGAACATTTAATCCGGTTTCATAACTTCCACGAGCTAGTTCGAAACTAAAATGAAGAGCGATTACAAAATAAATATCTTTATGAGTACATAAACGCTTATAAACTATCTATTTTGTATACATAACAGAAGATTAATATTTCCGATTTATAATTAAACTATAACTATTGATGTTTACGTCTGTTGTAGAGTAAAATACGTAACACATATAAAATATAGCTTCAAATGAATTTTATGATGTTGTAACACTAAATTAATGGACACAACATTATAAAATATTTACTAATCTTGTTAATATAGTGTTGCACGTCATACATAAGAATATAGACATAATTTATTTACATCGTACAGGTGTACACGCTTGTAATTTGTACACGTTTTATTCAGCCATAACAATATATATACCACCCGACACTGGCAGTATAGTCGACAACATCGTTGAAGACTCGGTTGCCAAAAAAGGAAAAAAAACTATATAAATTCCACAACCGTTTGTAAAAATGTATACAAGAAAAACGTCATTTGCAAAAGGAACCTATTCCATCGGTCAATCTTGTTCGGCAGTCGAGTTCATAGCTACTCCACCAACATGGCAGATAACTTCCATATTTAGTTTAAAATTTCGAAATAAACATTAATAAATGAACATTTTGAGTTCATTTGCCACTATATTCATCAAAGTCAAAAGTCAAAGTCAAAGCATTTATTTCAATTATACCATAATTTGATACTTTTGAAACGTCAACAAATACAAAATAAATATTAGTCTGTCAGTCAGTCCGTTAGTGAAGCTAGATGAAGCTAGTTGCTCATTACAAAATGTAGATTCGAATGGAGAAGAACGATCAAGAAACACCATTCGTTACTCTTTTTAAAAAAGTATGTGACCAAAGATTGATTCAATGAATTTATTCCTTTTTAGATTATTTCAAATACCATACCTACATGTGTGTAGTACTCGTATTTTATCGATTTTTACACAAAACGGTTTTTCCTGGCGTATATCCAAAACAGTTTCCGATGCGGATGCAATGTAACATTGTCGTGTGGTTGTGCAGATGTATCTGTTGACAGTTGCAAGTTCAAGATCGTAGTATATTTTCTAGGTCAGTTGTTAGAAAACATAATAAAAATTTTATATCTTGAATAAAATATTATTTGGTCGTCCACATTAACTAGGCTGGACTGTGGACCTCTCTTTCTTTCTATCTACCTACTTTCTTTATACCATACATAAGTATATAGGTAGGTAGGGTAGAAGCGAGGGATAAATGGAGTTTCTTCTAATTTACACACTTAGCCACCGTAGTTTAAAATTGGTCTTAATTGGTTCTTGCAACACCCGCGGAAGAAGAAAGGATGGTGATGAAATGTGACAACTCTGGATACACCAAACAGCAAGCCCATGATAACAACTAAATAAATTCGTAGGCAAAAAAAAAACTCTGACACACATACAAATAAAAGTCCCTTTAATTAAAAAAGTACACAAAAGAAAATGTTTTCAATAAAATCTTCGTTCTGTGAGAAACAAGAGAATAATTCTTATGTGAACCCGCTAGGATCTTAATTAAGAAAACAATGATTAATCCGTGCATGATTAAAACGACGCTGAATATTAATGAGAAGATCCAAACATGATAGGGGCAGGCAAAATGAGATAAATGGCGTTTTCTTAGATACAGACCATTTGTACTTAAGCAAATGTTGCCTCTTTTTTACCATACCATCTGAAGCCTTTCTTATAAAACAACACGTATCTATATCACGTAATCTCCAGTTATCTACGGCACATATTTGTTTGTGTTAATTTTGATAGTTCAAAAATATTTATTTACTACTTTCTAGACTAGACAATATCTGATACTTAAATTAGACTGAATAATTGAGATAGTGGTCAAACTTCGGCCTATCAAATCTAAAAAATGATTATGCAAATAAATTATACATAGTTCACTGTTATAGGTACACTTACCAATTATCAGTATTTGTAACAGTTTTTAAAATGGTTTTTCTTTTTTCCTAGACGCGGCCGCTGCACCCGCTACCGGTCTACGGGCTCAACGCGTGGTGCATCTCAGCTCTGCGCCAGATCAGCTCTACCTCTAGCCATATCATTACGACCATCAGCCTTACCGACGTCATCACCAGCACAACCAGATACTACCGAAACAGTATTAATAGAACAACCTATAGGAGATTTTAATATTAGATATTAGGATAAGATTTTATTTATATCGGTAATACGTGTTGAACCAATTTAAATGCCAAAATTAAAGTGACAAATTGTGTGACAATTATGACAGCTGTCAAATCTGACAGCTGTCAAGTGTCATTTTATATAGTTATTACGCAAAACCTATCGTGTCGTAGGTCATTATAAAGATTCGTCACTGTACGAATCTAAATTAATGTTGAAAATAAATCAGTCTTCTCATGACTTATTTTATTTTTTAATGAATTTACGGAAATTCTTGATCCAAAACTTATGTTGCATGAATGACTGCATGATGGGTTTTGCGTCATATGAATAAGGTGTTGCAAATTTTATTATTCTTGTTATTTATTTTGTCTACAAACAGGATGAATAGAAATTCATAGAAATGACTTTAACGATAATGTTTTAATCAATTTATGTGCCAAATATCAACGAATTCCAAAGTTTTTGAGAAAAACAAAAATATTTCCATTCACTACAAAATGAAATGGAATGAACTTTCACAATCAAATATTACTTTACTCCAAATATCTTTGATTATTTTCTAAAATAAACTCTGACGCATTTCTAGAAAGATCTTTTCACCTTGTTTAACCCTTAACAACCCACAAGTGTCTCGCGGACACAATTTTGCGTTTATGTTTTCATAAAAACTAAAGTTTTTATTTTTATGAATCGGCCTTTTATCTAATTTATCGCCAATGTTTTACGAATCTAAATGTGCAATGAAAATATTTGTAACGTGAATTATTTATTATTTTTGGGCAATAAACGAAAATAGTACTTCATCAACCCAGAAGTGTCCAACAGACACAATATCATTTTATTTGATTCAAGTGTGAAGGTAGATTGTTTTTATTTACATTTACTTATAATCTTATGGTGTCGGGTGGGCAAAAGCGGTTGTTAGACCTTTGTTTGTGTTATAATCATAGTTTTTGTAATCGTATCACGTATCAGTAATCAGAAACTCTTGTCAAAATGTAGTCATGTTCTAATTCGTTTTTATTGAATGATATGGCTAAACGGCAACTAACACAAAGTGAAATTCAACGTGCTCTTGTTGAAAGTGACGATGAAAACATTTTTGTCCATAAGTGCGATAGTGATGATGAGAATTTAGCTGTTGACAGCTGTTCTGATAATAAAGTAATGTCACAGAACCAGTATCTGAAAACGATGATGAACAATTATGGAATAACAGTGATGATGATTACAAGAATACGTCTCTATTTACACTTATAAAGGAAGAGATAACAACTTGAAAATCAGAACCTAACAGGCAAAACCGAACGCCTCGACACAACGTAATTCGCGGTGGTATCCATAAGGTGATTCTTCCTCCTCCGGGCCAAACTATAATAGATCCGATAGACAGTTTCAGCCATTTTTTCGACGATCACGTATTACAAATAATAGTAAAATATACCAATACTAAAGGGCTTAGAATTTTACAAAATCGATGGAAATAAAATCAGACAATAACGACATCAAACAGATATAAAATCGAAATGCAAGTACTCCGAGGTCTTTTATTGATTATAAGCGTCAATAAACAGGGAGGTATAGATTTTAGAGAATACTGGTGCCATGTCTTTGGCAATCCAATATATGAAGCTACAATGGAAAAAGGAAGAAGCATTGTTATATTTACCCTTCGAAATTATCAAGGGCTTCTAAACAGTGTTGTACTGAATGCAAACGCAATACATGCACTGAATATTCTGGAAAAAAAATAATTGTAATATCTATAAGTAAATAAGTGTAAATACACATCACTGAAATACATTATACTGACTTTTTCATTCAAAATATCTTTTTTTTCTTTCATTATACCTTACATTTATAAATGAGTCTGTTGGACACTACTGGTCAGTTACGTCACAAAAGCATTCTGGATAGTTAAGGGTTAATCTAATACATGTACCTATACTGTAATCCTGAACAAAATGTTTTTGTTTTCTAATTGGATACTACTGCCAAGGTAAGGTAAAGCAATTGACGTAAATGTATTAGATTTGAAGTCTGATATAATTCTCTTTTGTATCTAGAATAAAACTGACACCTAATTTTTGTGAATTTTCTTCAGTGCCAAATTTAGTCCGTCTATTCGTGTGAGGTATATATAATAAATATAGTATATCTTGGTTTCTTGTTTGGTTATGTATTGTGAGATAATGTCCTACGGATCTGTTATTTTAACTTTATTAAATGCGCAATGGAATGTACAGTGAACATAAACATGACGTCACGCCTTTTAATCTCCGTAGGAGTAGGAAGAAGTACGCATAATAAAACAACACAACATCACGCCTTTTATCCCCGAAGGGGTAGGCAGAGGTGCACACAGAAGTAACACCCACTTTTCACTATTAATGTTATGAGTTCCATGTTATAGGGGGTGAGCCTATTGCCATATACCGGGCACAATTCCAGATTCCGTGCCACTACTGATATTTTTTTAAAACCCAGTAATACTTTGCCCGACCCAGGATTCGAACCCGAGACCTCTTGTCCGGCAGTCGCACTTGCTACCACTCGGCCATCGAGGTAGTCGTACGCATACGCATATAACTTCCATCAGTTACACGGCTTTTAGAGTAATAGAAGACGCAATTCCAGACTCTGTGCTACTACAGAGATATCAAGTAAAATTACATTATTTGAAAAAAGAAACATTTTTTGGTTCTATTTCATATTTTGATATGATTTAAAAAAGAGATGGCGCTGATGAAATAGAAAATTGAATTACTTCAATTATACCAAAATGGTTTACTCTGTGTAACTAATATAAAATTATTAGCTTTGAAATTATATTTTTTTCGACTTCATCAAACACTAATGGAATGTCTAGTATTTGTATATTTAAGTCTATTTTCTTTTTATAGCATTCAATTTTGCGGTAATGGTATTATAATATCTTCATTGAGGAATCACAGTAAGGAAATAGATATAATCAAAATTTTACCTTCTTGCCGTTCAACAAAAATTGTCTAAATAGGTAATATTTTTCCTCAATTTCTAAAATGGGCAAATATCGTTTTCATCGTGATAATTAAAATTACGATAAAATCAGCAATTATGTACCTACAGTTATATCATCAATCAATCTGTTTATGTAAAAAACAATACTTTTCAAAAATAGTAACAAATGAAAATAAATTTATTTTAGTAGTACCATATAATATATATAATTCTACTTTTTTTAAGGGGGGAAAATCATCGAATGACTTCTCCCTCCTTGGTGTAGCGGGAGGGAGTGTCAGACACTTACTGACTAAAAACCATCTCGTTCCTTCTCCTGCACTTCGAGCTGGAGCCCCGGTAACCCGTTAGGTTCTCCGCGACATTTATAATTCTACTAGGAAAACATGGTATATTGAGCAAGCAAATATGCATGGACTGTCCTTAAAATCATAAAAATCACTCGTCCGTATAATTCGGTAATATGTTTTAAATTAAATTGTATGAGGTGCGGCGAAACGTCGAATTACACATCATTTCTTTCACCGTAGGCGGCAAAATCCATCTGTTTCTACGGAAATTAATTCCGAATACATATTTCGTGCACATCAAGTTAGACAATACCAGTTTATCATGGTCTTGCTTTATATAACTTTTCGTTCATTGAACGGTCATTTTATACTGGTTCTGTAGAGCTTAATATGTTGCCGTGCGTACGAGCCTAAAATATTTCGTTTCAGTATTTGGCTTGTTACGTACTTAAATGGATTTAAAGTGAAAATATTAATATTGATTCAGTGGCAACTTGAGAGGAATTCGTAAGTAGATTTATCGAAATGTGTACTACTGCTGATTACGTAAGTGAATCGTTCTTATTACGTGACCTGCAAGATTTATTTTTGTGTACCGTCTTTTAGTGTTTTTAAAGCTGTTTAGTATCCATCATAAAAGAAGTTATTTTTACGCTATGAATAACATATTCGCCTTCGAGTGACATAACTATTGGGTATATCATTAAATTTAGATTGTTTTTTTATTAATCTTTTATAATCGTCTTGGAATTACACTTAAATATTTCCTACAAATACGATTTTGTGACAAATAAGAGCTTTACAAATTCATTGAACAATCTCGCCACTAATAAAACTACCAATAGTGACAACAATTAACTTGACAGGACCAAATTCGACAGTGGCGCCAACCGAACGAAAACTCATTCACAAATCTATAGTGCTGGGGAAATGCGCAAAACAAGAACTATCGATAAAAAACTTCGTACGTAGGAACGTAAAAGAAACAAATTGTTCTTCATTAACTTCTTTCACTGATGCCAAAGTACGTTAATCGTTTAATTAGTGTCGTTTTTCTTTTCGCAAAAGATTAATGGATGGGTCACTACAAAACTTTCTGTTTCGTTGTTGTTGTTTGACATTTACTTTTTAAAGAAAAAAGAGAGAAATAAACAAGGTCTTTCTAGCCACTAGAGACAAAATAATTCAGCGTAAAAAAGTTAATTTTGTTCTAATTTCTGCTTGCGATGAGAAAAGAAAATTGCGGCTATTACTCAGTTAGACCTCAAAGAATTACTCTATGAAAATTATATGCACGTGCTTGGCTAAAAAATGTACGGAATGGAATTGTTTGCATTCATTTTTTGTATTATCTAAGTAAGGCCATACTTATTTTTTTAATTGAATAAACTTTGAATTAAATACAATATGTATGCACAGTGGGGAATAAAGCAACAGTTCTGGATAAATAAAAAAATGGTACACAAAATATGAATTGAAAAACTAACATTCCATTAACTTGTCGTGTAATATTAATTTTAATTATTATTGTATAGAGAAAAGCTAGTATAAAACAGAACTGTTATCATTTTCAAGAACGAACCGTAAATTATTTCTTGTACAACATACTTGAAGTTTTAATTACACCGTAAATTTTGTTTAAAAGTATTTTAAACTAATTAATTGTATGAACCTTGTCATGCTAATATTTATGTTTCATTTTATTAACTGCCCATTAGGGTCTCAACACATAAAGTAGGATTTTGCATTTAAATTGAACTAGGCAGTTCAAACTATTGTAAAGATGTATCTTTCAAAAGCAAGGTTTACAAAGAATAGGTCAATTTTTTTATGGGATAAGCCAGTAACCGAACAGACGGATCACCTGATACCAAGCAATCGGCGTCGCCCACCATAGGTGTTACAAGTGGAACACCATAGGTGTTACAAGTGAATTACCGGCCTTTTGAGGACTAGGAATTTGAGGAATATCGGGGATTCAGAGTTAGGGGAAATTAGGGTGATAGTTGGGCCTCCGGTAACCTTACTCACGCGACGAAACACAACGCAAGCGTTATTTCACGTCGGTTTTCTGTGAGGCCGTGGTATCACTCCGATCGAGCCGGCCCATTGGTGCCGAAGCATGGCTCTCCCACACTTAAAACTTTTGATGTCCGTCTGGTAGATTATTTTAAAACATTAGACACGTATTTATTATTTTAAGACAGAAACAAATCAATTCGACTATATATCGATTTGAAATAACGAGTGACGTTACTTCTAGGTACGTTTTACACGTAGAAATGACATTTTAGCTTCAACTCCTAAACATTAATTCGTTTTATCTAAGTATTGTTTTCTACTATGACAAAATAAAAAATACGTGTACTACTAATATTTTTTCTAATATTTCTAATATTCTTTATATTATACATATTTTTTATTTAAAAATTTTCTCTTGATTGCACGGAATCTGGATTGTGTTCAGTATAACTATATAATATGAATTATAGTAACAAGATTTTAATCTCTATAATACATGAAACCTATGGAGAATTAAAATGTGTATTATATTTGACCAAATTATAAATCAGACCGCCATCTCACTTCTTCCTACCACCTCGCAGAGTGACAATTGTATCGTTTTATTCCTTTACCCAAAGCTATAAACTATAATTTCTCCCGATATCATATTACTTAGATACGGTATTTGTATTATTTATTTGACATTAAAGATGTGGCTTTCCGAACACATTTGATCTATAAATCTCAAGGATTTTCTTCCATCTCCTTTAGGTATTACATTCAGACATAGGACTTACATTTTTATATTATATCCGATTTGTTTCTGTTTGCAATCGCAACCGAAGTCATCATCTTGTCAGCCAGAAGACTATAGCTTCTAGCTCAGCCGGTTGGTAGTGATTTGTACTAAACAGCGTCCTGCAACTCTGCAAATCTCTATAAGTTAGTTAAGTTGTTCACCATCGAAATAAGAGGCTACACTTGTATAATCTATTAATTATTAGTTGACTGGGCAGACATTTTTATTAGCTGACTGTGCAGAGTTTTTTATGGGCTAAGCCGGTAAACGAGCAGACGGATCACCTGATGGTAAGCAATCGGCGACGACCCAAAACACAATAATGTTTGTTCTCGACCGTTTGGCGATTAGGAATTGAGGATTATATCCAATATGCAATTGGACTCTCGGTAACCTCACTCACACGACGAAACTCAACGCAAGGGTTGTTTCACGTCGGTTTTCTCTGAGATACGTGATGACCACACATATTTGAGGTGACATGATGATGTTCGATGATGATGATAATTAATTAAATTTTCCGTTATGTAACTTTCGTTTTTTTAATTTCGTAATTCAAAGGACATTTTAGGCTAAATCAACCTAATATCTAGATTAAGTGAATTAAAAAGCAAATTCTGTGAATTTATATTTGTAATAGAAATGATTTTATTCTATTTAAGTACCTACTATAGTGTTTAGGTAAGGTCATAGAAGTAATTTATTTGTCAGAGGATGTTCAATTATCATATTTT